GGGCCACGAGAGTTCAGTTGGAAGACGATGATCCACAAAGGAGATATAAACGCTTGCGAGGGCAGATCGCATGAGAAAGACGAACCATTAATTACGAAGAAGGATTAGTCAATTATTGTTGTTGCCGTTGTTGGCTTTAGCTTGTGATAAGGACTTGCAAGCTATATTTGAAGTACAATAATATGGAAAAATTTCAGCACGGACCGAGTGGGTGGTCAAAAAGAAGTAGTGCAGTGATGAGAGACGGGAAGAACAGAAGCAATAACCAATTCATGTGACAAGTTTTTTGCAGGAATTGCAGTTTTGCATTTCATGCTCCTTTGAATGCAGCTGATGTATAAGACGAAAGAAATCACATGCCATCTTTCAGCAAATATTTTTATATTAACAAACATTTTAATATTGGCATACGATATTTGTGGGAAAGAGCGATTTTAATGATCTGCTCTAAAAAATCGAATTGCGACTTTTTAATCAGTCGAAATTCAAGAAAGGATTATTACCATTGTATATCTTCACAAAACATTTGAGCAGCAGAATGAAAGATCAGATTTTAATCATATCGTTATACTTAGTGACGGCGTTAGGTGGAGTTCAGTCCCACCAGCTGATCTCCATTGAATCTGAGCTAAATTGACATAGTCCAAGGAAGAGAATAGTTGGGATTGGTAGCAGCCAACAACGGCGCTGCTGACATTCCCAGATAGGCTGTCTCCCTGTTGTTCCCGTTTATATTTGTTCAAATGCATATTTTTTATTTTCCTTTTGACATATTTTTCTCCCTACTCGTAAAGTTGTGTCAGGGTATATTCTCTTGTAATTTTTAGTTTAGTGAAGATAGCGTCAGACAAAAGTAAAGTAGTAATGAGTACAAATGCTGTCACCAATGCTTGGCAAGGATTGGTGCTGTATGTCTGCTCACAAGCGGCAGACTTTTAATGTGCTGAATGAAATTGCACCGTATACTTCAACGAAGCAATCTATGGCTTGTGAACCAGCTGTTTTAGTAAATAGTCATCAAGAGAATGTCTTCTAGATAAATTGATAAAATTACAAATGATCTTCAAAATCGAACATCGCTATTCAGAAAGCGTCTGTCAAGAAAATAACCGCATTGTTCATCATTTGAGTACAAACTCGTGCCTTGTGCTATGTGGAAGTTACTAGAAACGTCGGCTTTCGATTATCTCCTATTAGCTTTTAAATTTTTTCATGCCTCTAAAACTCATTAAGTAGAAAGTCTCATTTTTTCCTGAGAAAGGGCATTTTTTTAATATCTTGAAACTGAATCGGTATCATCTTCTAACTGATCATTTTCCATTTGCTTAAGAAATAGTGAGCTACATAAAATGGTAGAAGATGCGTACGGTGAAAGAGACGGCTTAAAAGACCACTGCCAGAAAGTGGAATGGGAACTCGGCGAAACTCGCCAACGAACGAACGACGCCCAGTGGAGGTACGTAATTAACACCTCCAATTGGTTTCGTAATTTTTGTTGTCATCATCGTCTAGCGTTGTTATCGTCATCGATGACATGTGGCAGTTACTTCAATTAGTTTATCAATGATGAAATCCGTTGATTTTAAATCTCAATCTTTGTCACGACAATGTTCAAGTTGTTTGCTGTCTGCCAAGGTTCGCAAAAAGCGTCACCGGCTGTCAACTTTCCTCCAGAGGTCATATCATAGCTTTCCTTATGCCGATCAGTTCCAGAAATATGGTATATAGTATGTCATTTTCAGATACGTTTCTGATGTTCCATTCAAGATCACGTCATGACAGGAGTTAGTCGTGCTTTCCCTTTGAATTCATATGGGCAGTCGACCCAAATTCTTCCGTCTGGGTTTAAAGTCTGCGCGACAGTTGTTTACTGACATAAGGAGGTCTGTTAACCCATAATTTTCATTGCCTTATTAGCCGGTTATTTTATTATGCTTGACAGACCTTCGTGGTTGACTGAAATACCGATACACCGAGGCTGAACTTGTGGAAAGCTATTACTTCTCTGCCCATTAGTTACAGAAAATGACCCTCGCTCTGTTCTGAGATGTCGTTAGTTTGATCTCGGTTCTGTAAGAATCTAAACATCCGATTTGGAATTCTTGAACTGATGTTCTCTGAAATTGAAAGTGTCTTGGTTCCTTTGGGAATATGCCTCCTCGCTTATTCTGGTATTCCATGTGGCTGCAAAATTGGAAAAAAGTAGTACACAGCATTGACAAAAATACTGAGAAAGATATTTTGCACGAGTTCCACAGTGGTATAAAACTTAATTGCATATGTTGTGTTTTTAAGGTAAATCTGTTAATTCGTGGTTAGTCTGTTTGCAGAGATCATCACCGAGAGTCATTTGCATTTTCAGAACGTCTCTAGTTTGTGATCCACAACCTTTCAACACTTGCTATTAGATGTCAGTCACTGCATTGTAGCAGGAAATGGTCCTCTCTAAAGGCAGATCTGCCACTTCTTCCAGGTTGCATCCTCTCCTCCTGATCGACGTCTGTCGTGTTTCCGTTCCCATACAAGGAGCTCATATTCTGAAGTAAATGGAATATGCTCAGCCTTTCAAACAGGGCTAACCTACTTTCCTTAATCTTCGCTTCTATTGAGGATACCTGTGCCTGATTGTGCTGAATTGTTTCTAGTTAGACGGTACCAAAATTGAACATTTACAGTGGTTCGTTGTAAATGTTCATCAGGCAAATAAACCGGTTAGACTGGGTCTTTCCCTATAACTAACAACAATATGTGTTCGACCATGGAAAGCGCCAGCTTTGAACCAAGTGCTTAATACCTATTGCTTATATCCATTCGAGGTGCGACTATGTTTTTGTCTGTCCTCCAGGTCTTTTGAAACGATAGTCAATTGTTAGTTTGCCGTTTTTCTGAAGCGCACCTTTGAAATTTTTGCAGTTTCCTTCCATTGTATAATCCGAAGTGGCAGGCATAGCAGTGTACAAATTTTTTACTCCAGATGATGGTTTACACATTGACACTTTATATATTGTGAAAATCTTTTATTTTACTTTATAAACTTATTCTCTTCGGAATAGAGATTCATAAGTTAGTCATTTCATTGTCTGGTTGTCATGGTTGCAGTTGCATTGCTCACTGAATGTTGCGATAATTAAGAAGCTATGCTCTGTTACGACAGTCTGATTCGTATCTGTCAAGTCAAAATATGAGGTGGTTACTTCCTTATCATGTGTACCTCATTTTTTGCTGATCCTGAAAATATCAGTTTGCTCTAGATGTGCACATTTATAACTTCAATTTGACCCTGTATGGTTAACAGCGGGCACCAGCCAAAACACGGTTTTCCATACCACAACGATGAAAGGCGAATCGAGTGTCTTTTCTTAGGGTGCTAAGGTTCGTCAGGAAACGCTAGGCGGTCGACCACTCAGATGACTATGGCTGGTTCTGACAGTGCTTTTCATGCTTTTAAGGCAAACTTGTTTATCCGAACTATAATTCGCATAGCAGCGCAGAAGAAGGCAATCGAGACTGTAGACCATATTCATTTTCAGACAGGCAATGGTAGAATGTTCTCATCATGTTTAGCATCCTCTGACCAAATGAGGAATGATATTTATCGATTTACACAGCGAATCATGCATTCGGTTTAGAATAGGTGAACTGGACGCAGAGGTCAATGCAAAGAACAGCGAGTTGACCAACCGAGCGGAGCGAATCAGCTGGTTGGAATGTGAACTGCAGAACACGAGAAAAGCCCTTGATGATACGAAATGGAGGTAACTGTGATGTGATTCTCGACCTGTTTTCTATCGCCTGTCGACAGATGTGGGGAGCTCGAAGCTCAGGCGGAAAAGTCAAAAGGAATCGAAGTGAACTTGCAACAAGCCGAACGAAAGATCCACGATCTTATGCAGGAAAATGCGAATTTTAAGGGTGCCTTACAAGAAATGCACCACACAAAGAGGTATGCAAACTTTTTTTCTATGTTTGGGTATTTCAGGATCTTGACTTGCCACGGTTCATCTTCATGTCGCACATTTGTCAGCGTTTCCGTTTACTCTTACAAAACTTATTCAATTTCTTCCCAATGGCTGCAGAGCCTTTCTTTCCCAATCTTACGTTTCGGCTTTCGGACTGGCAGCTATCTTCAGAGGACTTCACAAAAGTTTCACAAATATTTTGGAAAAAAAACGCTGATAATGGATTCTATTTCAAAACGACACACGTTAGATCAAGGACTAACGGATCTGTCGCCCCTAAAGCCACGTTTTCATGAACACCTTAAATATGTAACATGACACACCTTCTGTCAATCACTGCACAACTGTTTCAGTTTACCCACGTTAAAACGTCAGCAAAGCTCCCAGGACGAAGCGTACGATGAGCTAACGGTGGAACTGCGCAGCGTCCATCATCGCAAATACGAACTGGAAACGCAACTCATGGAACTGACCAGCGAATACAGAGGACTGCAACAAGTTCACGCGGGATTTGAAGAACGCATCAAAGCCCTGAACATGGAACTTGAAGCCCTCCGAGAAAAGTACTACAAAAATTTATTGTATTTTTTCTCGTTTATCTAAGCATTATCAAGAGATCATGGATGACACTATAATTTCATTAACTAACTATTTTTTAATTAATGATACTGCAGCTGTTGCTGTGTCTTCGTCATAAATGCTAGCACAGCTTAAGCGGCACAGTGGCCCATACTTATGATGTCTAATCATTAGAAACGTTGCCTCAAATTGATATAAGGCAAAGTTCATTTCCTGCAGCATAGGCCATATTCCTCGTCGCCAGCAGCAGCCCTGCTTCAAAGAGCGGTTTCCATGTTCTGTTTTATCTTCCAACGCGTCTACAGCGATTTGACGGTTCCCAGGTGAGAAAAGGTTTGAAGGCAAATTCATTCTCCTTTAGGGCTGTTCTATCAACCAAGCCAGGTGCCGATTCTCAGTTAATCAGACCACTGGTTGTTAACGCCTACTCATTCGTGAGTTCGTGGCACCATCTAACTTTGAGGACACTTCATAGACAAAGTTGCGGGATGCAGTCTAGAAAAGCTTCATGCGGTTTATGTGCAGCAGGTCTTTTCGAGACTTACATGAGTGCTGCGTACTGATGATGAGCCAATTGCAACCATTCAGAAACTTAGCCTTAAACCCACGTGTACGTATTCACAGTGCCCAAATGGATAGCGCTTTCGTACTTTCGCAGAACATATAGTACGTGTAATTTGCAGCTGATTTGCGGCTATTTTTTAAACTCAGTTTCATGCATATTATGTCTATGAAACCTCTAACTTACAGATGATAACCACCTTAAGTACTACAGCAGCGCTTAATTGTGAAGTCGTAACATTCTACTTAAATGGACTGCCTAAGCGTCCAGAAACAAGAAGGCGATGCAGTAGAGCTGCTTGTGTAAAGTGCCAAGTAGATTTTTTACTTTACACTGCATTTTCGCCGTTCCTATCCACTATCATTACTTTTAATGTAATAACCATTTTATTTGCTCCGTTATCGATAGATTTCAAATAATCACCTTATTTGCTATCTTTCCTACCAGACAACCTCTTGTTTACTTAATTCCTTGTATCCAGCCTTCGTTAATTTCGTTTTAACTTACGTACCTAATGCTTACCCGCTTGCTTATCTACCTACCTACCTACCTACATGCCCTCCTACCTACCTATCTACCCACCTACCCACCCAC